TCACTGTAGAAACTATAAAGAGTGAAGATAAGGTCACTTTAGATACTCTCGTCTGTATAAAACGACGTCGTTTTGGCTTTTTCGGTGTTTGGCCTTTTTTGTTTTTTTTCCCCTCTTCAGTACATTTTCCCCTATGTTTCTCCATTTCGTTACGCAACATCCATGCCTCTTTCTTCTGTCTATCCTTCAGCTGCAAAAATGGATTTTTTTCCTTCTTCCACGCAAGAAATCCCAGTAAGCCCTTTCTTCTGTCTATCTTTCAGCTGCAAAAATCGATTTTTTTCCCTTCTTCAACGGAGACACGACCGAGACGGAGACACTGATCTGTGTCACCGTGAGACACAGAAACAGCCACTATGTCTCCGTGTCGTGCTTGTGCGGCCACGAGAGTACAGAAGGTTTGCCGGAGCTATCGTACGCGGCGCATGTTAGCAGACTCCGCTGTGGTTGCTGAAGAGCTCTGGTATTCTTTTCTTTAAACAGAGAAAATAATACCATGAAGCCAGAAAAAGCAGCATCGCGGTGGAATTGTGTCAGTTTGAATGCTTCAAAGGTAAAAACCATGATTTGTTTTTGTAATTAATTAAACATATTTCTAATTTTTAAGAGGAGGACAAAGACAATAAGATTAACATTTGGTCGTATTACGAAGATGACACCAATTATTTAATTTGTATTTGCCTAAATATGTGGCCAGGTGGGCAAGGATTTGTCTAAAGATGCCAAGGCAAAAAAGTTGGCTTTTCGACACTGGATTGAAGCTGTGAGTTATTTTCTTCTGGGCCGGAGTTTAAATTACCAATTTTTAATTGCAAGCATTTTTATAAGTTTTTGAAAGTGCTGATTGATATAAGTTAAGGCTCTGAATATTAAATATTTTGTCGAAAAACTTGTTTGAAGTTCTTGAAAAATATACCATGATTTCGTTGACAATAAGTGTCATCTATTGATTTGATGAGCTGATTTCGAGTGGCATTATGATGATATGCATTATCTTTTGAAGCTAAGAGATACGATGTGAAGAATGTGTCCTCTATTGATTTGATGAGCTGATTCAAGTCGCATTATGATGTACACAATTAAGGTCTCTTCTATGAACCTTTATAAACTTTTCTGTATTATTTCTTCTTGAAAAAAGAAAAATGGAACTTTAAATTTAAGTTCCCTCCTTCATACAAGAATGTCATTTCTCTATTTTGATTCTTGCAATCTAGGTTAATAAGGGTCCACGTTCTTAAATTAAGGTTTTTAATTGTTTATTTGAGCATGAGAAAGGGGCACTGGACCCAGTGCTGGTGTATATCATAAGTTCAACTCAGAAACCATTGAGACTTATGTTGGATGTCCCTGCGCATGATTACTTTAATGTATGTTTAGCTGATCATCTCGGATATTATTTGTTTGTTTCCTGTTAATCATTTAGAAACATGTGAGGTGCGTTCAGAAGATGATAAAGCTCTTGTCGAGAAAAGCAAGAAAAGGACAATGAAGACAAGTGCTCAGGTTGATGCTTTGGAAAATTTTTATGATGGTACACAATACTTTCTTTTCTTGTATGTCATGCCTTTCCATATGCTTTCTCATTAATGTATTATCAGCATACCCAATTGTTAAGAAGAACTTATCCATTTCCCAGAACACATATCCTGTAGAGTCTATGAAATCCCAACTTGCAGAGTCATTAGGACTTTCAGAAAAGCAAATTTCTTGATCGTTTTGCCACAGAAGGTTGAAGGATTAGAGATTACTGAATGGGGAACCATCTGCAATTGGGAGACGAGATCGTTCAAGTGGGATTATACAGGATGGTGGCAGTGTATTTCAGCAAGACTCCTTAGGTAGCACTAAACTGGGAGAAGATAGGAATTTTGACACCAAGGAAGTTGAAAGTGATAGGTTAGCCAACCAAGAATTTTCTGCTGCTGACCTGAGGTATGAACCTGGTAATCACTATACCAGTAACTATAATCGTATAAATGATGCATCGTCAGGAGGTAGTTCAACATTAGGGAATATGTCTTCCTATCATAATGGTGACTTTTTTGATGTGGCAAGGTCGAAGTACTAATGCTCTGCTCTATCGAGGTTCATCTCTAATTTAAACAATAGTAGTTTTTTCTTATAAGATTCACAAATAGTAATTTTTGCTCTATGTTAGTGCAAAAGGAAGCTTGTTAATTATTTTTTTATTTCGATTTCTTTTTACCACCAACTTCATTGTTAAATGTACTGTGGATTTTGGAATTGTAGTATTTATTCTAAACTTCTAATAGCCCAATTTGCGTTTATTCAAAACCTCTGAAAATTGATAAACTGATTGCTGGCAAATCTAAAGCCTCTATTCGAGAATGATGATTCAACCTATGTAGGTAAAATTCTGTGTATTCAAAAACTATGAATTTCCAGATACTAATTTTTCTAGACTGCATGTAAGGAAATTCTAACCGAATGAGTCATGGAGCTAGAATTGCGCTTCTTACGAAAAAAAGTGTTACAACACAAAAAGGAATTCCAATCCTTGGTGTATTTAGGTGCTTTTTGGTTGGATCTCTAGATTATCACTGGGTTATTCATTTTTCTCAATACTTGATGACAATGTGACACCAGATTTTGAATTCATCTTCAATATGACAGATCTGATCACATTTAGAAATGCGAATTTTTTTGTCAAATGGACTTTGTCTGCTAAAAAATCGATATTTCATTGTCCCCTACCCAAGTTTATTGAGATTATAATAATTGAATAATCATATACATTTTCTTTCCATTTTTACTTCCGGGAAGTATGTGATTGATTTGTGATTTACATGATTTGTGAATTAATTGTTGAAAAAAAAAAAAGAAGGAACACTTCGAAGCGTTACAGACTGAATTTAAGAGTGAAGTTGAACTTCTGGCTACAATTCATCATCGGAATCTTGTCAAGCTGCTTGGTTATGTTGATAATGGAGATGAACGTCTGATTCTTACAGAATAAACATCTAGATGGTAAACCTCTTAAACTCTTGAGACATCAAAAACATTCTGATCAGGTGAGTATAATTGTAATATTTTGTCTGCTTTCCTTTATAGGATGGAAGGGAAAGATATTAGATTTTTGTCAGACTTGAAATATCCATTGATGTTGCTGATGGCCTAACCTATCTCCATCTATATGCAGGTGATAGACAGCATAGAAAATAATCCTTTTTTTGCTTAGTTTACTTTATTTTTCTGCGGCCAATGCGTTCTTGATGATAAATGGCAGAAACACAATTGCTTAAATCATATGACTTATTAGAAGAAACGTTATAATTGTGTAAGATCCTTTCTCTCTGTTCCTTTTTGCAGGTTTGAATATTGAAGTTGATAGAATATTAGAAATTGCTTGTATAATTACAGATGGCAATTTAACCAAGTTAATTGAGGTAACTTCATCTTTTCTAGCTGGAATTTTTTCTGTATTCATATTTTCTTCTTATTATATTGTGCTATCATTTGTTTGCTTTTTCTGAATTTTGCATTCTTGTTATATGTTTTCCCATCTTCTGTGGCTGGAAGTTCAGCTATTTTTCAATGGTTTAAATCAAATTAAATTCATCTAAATCCCGACTACCTTTTTTACTCCCTTTTATTCGATATATTTGGTCTTTCCATTTCCAATGGACATTGATTCCCTCCCTTTCTTAATTGAGAAAATATCCTTGTTTTTTTATAGGGTCCCGACTTGGTTATTCATCAATCAAAGGAATGCCTTGATAAGATGCGAGAATGATGTCAACAACATCATAGAGAA